TGGATTGCTTTAATCTCCTCATCCATGGTAGTTTGCCACTTCTTGTCTCGCACCGCCTCTTCAAAGCTAATATTTTCAGCATCTGCTAAAAGACATACAAGGTGTACCTCATTTGTTGAATCATATAAGTCTCGCAAACTTCGTATTTTGGGTTGTCGTGGTTCATTTTCATCATCGAAAATTTCTGAGTTTGTTGGTATACTTGTTGCAACGACTGATAGTTCTCCAACTTCGATATTAACTTCCCTCGAATTGTTCCAGTCTCATTCGCTTGCTTCATTTACTCATACATCATGACTCACCATCACCATCTTGCTTATCGAGTCAAGTAGCTGTGTTAGATAAATCCCTACCTTTGAGTGAAAGTGATCCCTAATTTTTAGTTAACTATTTTTTAGGTAACTATTATTTGGTTAAACCTACACAATTAAAGTAAGTGGGAAGTACACTCGAGTGGAAGCTCCTCAATTAAGTTACCCACATCTTTACATTTTTAGGATGTAATTTGTTATTTAAATATCCCAATTAATGAGAAATGAGATCCATCGGGTCTTCAGCGCATACTTTCTCTCTCTGTTATTTTTCCGTTATTTTTTTTTTCTTCCAACAAATTTCCTTCGGCCGTTTTTTACTCCTTCGGCGATTTCCTCTCGATTGTTAGAAGTCAACAGTCTGTATCCTTTTGTCTTCTCATCATACCCAATAAAAATATACCTTTTGTTTTTGTCTTCGAGCTTTGTTCTTCGTTGATTCAGTACGTGAGCATAAGCCACACTATTGAACATTTTGAGATGAGAAATTGTAGGCTTTTGTCCGCTCCAAGCCTCTTGTGGTGTTTGATCATCTAACTTTGCAAGTGGACATCGATTTTGCACATAGATGGCGCATTACACGGCTTCTGCCCAAAATTCCTTTGGCATCCTTTTTCTCTTGAGCATTCACCGAACCATGTCGAGAATAGTCCAATTTTTTCTCTCGACTACTCCATTTTGTTGAGGGGTGTACGGTGCGGTTAGAAATCGCCTTATACCTTGCTCCTCGCAATACTCCATGAAAGTCGTCGAAGTAAACTCGCCACCTCTATCAGATCGTACAATTATGATGTGTCTACCAGTTGCTTTCTCCACCATCACTTTGAACTTTTTGAACACCTTGAATGCCTCAGATTTTTCTATCAGAAAGTAAATCCAAGTTTTTCTTGAGTGATTATCGATAAAGGAAATGAAATACCTTTTACTGCTGAAAAACTCGGGGGTAATTGGTTCACATATATCTGTATGAATCAACTCGAGAGGTTGTTTAGCCCAAAATTCAGCCTTCTTTTGAATTGAGGTTCTCGCATGCTTGCTGAGCATGTAGTCTTCACAAAATTTTCCTTCGTAGTCCATGTTGGGTAGCCAATGCACCATATTCTTCTGTGCTAACTCTTTTAGGCCGCCATGATGTAGGTGACCAAAGCGGAGATGCCACAGTGATGCCTTGTCTTCTACGTCGACTCGCAAACAATTTTCTCGTATGCTTCTTAAATTCAGTTTGTACATCCGATTTCTTTCTATCTCGACTTGAGCAACCAAACGCCCTTGCTTGTCCTTTAGGTGAAGCAGGCGGCCTTTTAAGAATATCGAGTAACTTTTCTCTGTGAGTTGTCTCATACTCAATATGTTGGTCTTGAGGTCTAGTACGTAATAAACATCTTGGATTGACTCCATTAAACCATCCTTTTGCAAGAAATGTATCGTACCTCGGCCTTTGACCTCCACCTTTGACGCATCTCCAAATGACACATGATCATCTTCAATCTTTTGCATCTCTTTGAATAGATACTCGTGACAACACATATGATTGCTTGCTCCTGAGTTGAGGTACCATAGAGTGTCGTTGTTGATGTTGTCTTCATTTTGAGCCATCAAGAGAAGACCATCGTTTGTTGCGTCATCCAAGGCTAGGTTGATTGTTTCTTCCACCTTTTTATCGGCTCGACAATCTTTTGCCAAATGCCTCACTCTGCCACAATTGTAAAATTTGTCGGGGTTACAATCGTTCACATAGTGACCATATTTGTGACATTTGTAGCACTGAATATTTGAGTAAATTGATCAGCTGCCTTCTCCTTATAGTATCCTTCATGACTGCTGCATTGACCAACGCGACCATTTCCACGACTTCCACGACCTCTACCTTGAAAGTTTTAAGAATAGAGTGACTTTTCATCTTTGATTGACGCCTTGGTCTGAAGTGCTTGATCGAGTGTTTCCTCCTCCTTCTTCTTACGTTGCTCGTGTGTCTCGAGAGAACCGGTGAGCTCATTGACCGTGAACGTCTTTAGATCCTTTGACTCTTCTATCGCACATACAACATTCTCAAAGTTGTTTCTTAATGACCTCAAAATCTTCTCCACAACCCATGTCTCGGCTAACATTTCTCCATTTCGGTTGAGTTGTTTTACCACAATCTGTACATGTGTGATGTAGTCAGATACACTTTCTGACTCCTTCATCTTCATGCTCTCCAACTGGCCATGAAGAGTTTGGAGACGCACTTGCTTGACTTGATCGGTTTCTTTTAACACTTTTCCTAAAGTGTTCCACGCTTCTTTTGAAGTAGTTGTACTAGCAATCTTCTCAAAGCCCGACTCGTCAATGGCTCGGAACAACATGTATAGTGCCGCCTTATCCTTTGATCGCACTCTTTTAACGCCTTGTTTTGTGCCGCTGTATAACCCGTGGTATCTTTTGGTTCTTCGAAACCTTCTTCGACCACCTCCCATGCATCTTAAGAGCTGAGAAAAGCTTTCATTTGAATGCTCCAATTCTCGTAGTTTGTCTTCGTTAGTCGCGACAGTGGCATTTGACCCGTCACATACGCCATTGGCTCTAATACCAATTTGTGAAAGAATACTCACGAATTTGTGAAATAATTCTCGCGTATTTGTGAAAAAGATGTCGAGAGTGGAGAGACAAAAAAACACCGAGTTTATCTGAAAAAAAAATCTCTCTATTACTTCTCTGTTCTTTTTCTTTTTCTCTGCTCCGACCTTACAATGGAAAGACAAGGTATTTATGAGCTTTTCTAAATCTAATTATGGCTATGAATGTCACCCATAAAATGCCACTATTCCTATAACCGCTCTTGGCCTTTTCTTTCACCGCTAACTTTTCAATTTAAAATCTACTCACAAATTAATTAAAAATGACATTTAATGTTTATTCAACAGAAATCACGTCGTGGCCAACTCCCATTGCTCAACTCAGGATCCCAAAGTTGGCTAGAGGGTAATGTAGGTGGCAAAGGCAAAGCGATCGAATGGCTCTCAACAGAACCTGCTTGACCTTCACTCTGCTTGTAGTGTTCATGTTCTTGTTCTGCAGATGTGTAAGGGGGGCATCATCTCGTCTATATCCCTGTTACTGGTATCGTGACCTTGCCTCTCTATGTAAGAATATATTAACTGGTCCAATGTAAAACTGACTATTTCAATTGGAAATTTAGTAAACTATTAAACATAAAAATAAATGGAGAATGATGCAGTATGGGTTAAATAATTCGCTATTTACTTGTTCAACTTTATGACTGACAAAATCAAAATGCTGCAGTTATTATTATTTTATTTCAACACGAAAGCAATTAGATGGCATCGTAAAGAAAGATTGCATTTGCTCGTAAATGTCAATGTATGAAAAGGAATGATAAGAGAAAAACTAACCTTGATTTCTCCTCCTCCATGAATATCCTGCCAATGGAAGACAATTAGATATCAAGAAGCAATCAATTGAAGATAGTTTGAGCTCTACCCTTGCAATCTTTTAACAGAAATTGTATTTTTCGAGAAACAAACAGAAACTAGAAGTGAAGCTAACCGTAAGAGAAGTTGAATCTTTTCCCTTGGCATTAGTTTGTATTTGGAATATGATAGAACAAAAAAAGAACACTGAAGGACACGGTCATCAAACGTGGACAACCGATTTTTACCCTAATTTATGTATTCATTTTTTGTTTTTTTGTTAATCCATTTTGTTTCTTCTTTTGAGTACGTCAAGCTCATCAAAAGTTGCCTTTGTTTAGAATTTTTTCTCTTTGATCTAATAAGTTCTAGATAAATATTTATCTTAAAATCACTCTAGGTTAATAACTTATTTTGCTAAGTCAAGCTTGTTAACTTACATTCTCCTCCGTAAGCTTGACTTTGCTCGAGATTCTTAACTTTGAGAAAATCTAGCATGTCTACAACTTTAACCCTTGCTAGGGGATTGTTGAGAATGTTTGCACGCTACTCTCTAGTTTCAACTTTGCTTGGTCCCTCGTCAATTCAGTCTCCTTTGGAAGAAACTGTAATTTTACAACATGCATTTTCTTCCACTCCTCTCTTCTATGAAGAGAATTTATCGTTAGGCTTACATCTAGAAAATTCTTGAATTTGCTCGAGATTCTTAACTTTGAGAAACTCCCGCAAGTCTGCAACTTTAACCGTTGCTAGGGTATTGGTGAAAATGTCTGCACGTTGCTCTCTAGTTTCAACTTTGCTTGGTCCCTGGTGAACTCTGTCTCCTTCAAAAGAAATTTTAATTTTACAACATGCATCTTCTTCCACTCCTCTCTTCTGTGCACAAAATTTATCGTTAGGCTTACATCTAGAAAATTATTGTGACATACTCCTCAGTTTTACAACCTTCTTTTTAGGCCTACCTCTAGGTTTCTTTGGTTGGGAGGGCAAGTTTGAAATCTCATTTTTCTTACGCCTCGGTGGTCTTCCTCTGGGCGTCCTTGGTTGAGATGACAAGTCTGATGAAACACATCGACTTGTAGGTTGCACTTCTTTAATTGAAGCAGCCTCTGGTTGCTTCTTAATTTATTTTTCGATTCCTTTTTCTCCTGACCCGTTGGTTTCTTCTTCACTTTCTTGCTGTCCCTTTTATGGCGGATATTGGCACACAGACTCCCGCCAATAGATATTTTTGGAAGATGTTGATAGTCTTTCAATAGTATCTTACATAGGCAGTTTCTCACCATCTTGCCTTCATCAACAAGGCTCCATTTCGGTCGTATATTCTGAGGAGCGAGCCGACTATCTCCACTCGGCTACCTTCTTCTGTCATTTGACCAAGGCTGATAATATTATTCTTCAAACTCGAGATGTAATACACCTTAGTAAATAGACATTGATCACTGTTTTTACATTGGAACAAGATGGATCCTTTACCTTGGATTGATACAATTGATCCTTCGCAAAGCTTCATGTTTCCAATGAACTTCTCATCAAGTTTCTTGAACTTTGCTCGATCTCCAATCATGTAGTTGCTTGCTCCGTTGTCTAGGTACCACATGCTAGTCTCCACTTGGTCTTCTCCATCTATGGAGGGGTTCACCATAACCTTCTCTTCATTGAGCATCAACAAGTTGGGCATTTTCTCGGCCAACATCAATCTGGGCTCTTCATCCACCGAGAACATGAGGTTTGCCTCCTCACCGCGCTCGTTGTTGTGGCACTCTGTCGCATAATACCTGTATTTTCCACAAGAGTAATAGTTATCATACTCTTGTCCTTCTGATGGTTGGCATTTTCATGAGTTTGTGAGGTATTGTCACAACCTCCTCTGCCACCACGTCCACGACCTCTTTTTTCTTTGTTATGGCTTCCAAGTCCACTCGAACCTGAGAAAGGAGAGTCATCTGCATCCTTCTTTTTCGTCCGTGCAAGCCACTCCTCATGTGTGAGTAAGAGGTATTTCTTCTCCTCTTTGTCTCTCCTTATGAACCCTAAGACGACCAACGATCTCCTTAACAGACACGTTCTGGAGTTCACCAGAATGCTCGATGGAGGTAGCAATATGCATGAATCTTGGGAGAACAACTCGAAGGAACTTCTTGACGACGGAGATCTCCTTCACAACGTCGCCTAGTGAACGGATGCCACTGACGATCGTCGTCAACTTCATGCAAAGTTGTCTACTAACTCATCGTTCTTCATGTGGATAGCCTCGAACTCGTCTGCACCTTTGCTTCGTTGACACGTTCCACACCCACATGCATTGTTTGCAGCGTCTCCCACACTACCTTTGCCAAGTCCTTCTCTGCCAACATTAGAAGGACGTCCTCCGGGACTGTTTCGTAGATGGCGGCAAGAGTCATCCTGTCCTTATGCTCCTCAACTTCATCACCATGCTTGATGGCATCCCACACGCCCTGTGCCTTTAAGTTAACACACATCCTTATCGACCATGCTGCATAGTTACACTTCGTGAGTAATGGGTATTGGAGCATTACACCCCCCTCCCTTCCACTCCTTGTCGTTGTCACATCTCCTCCGGCAACTTCGTGCGATGACAACATTTGTTTCGACATCCTAGCTCTAATACCCTATGTTGGGAATTTTCGACCATGAAAATATGTCGAAACAAATAATTGAAGCGGAAGAACAACTTAAAGGGGGAAAGTTTTTTAACAGAGGAACCTTAAGCACTTATGCTTTTTTATTATTATTATTATTATTATTATTTTTAAATAACATATAGTATTTAATGGAGATTGCAATCTCCCATACTTTCAAATCAATAACTACTAAATCTTACTAATGGGTAATCTCCTAAACTTTCAAATCAATAATAGCTTAGCCTTTCTAATTGATCTCCTAAACTTTCAAATCAGTAACTACTAAATCTTTCTAATTGATCCACTAAACTTTCAAATTAATAAGTACTAAATATTTATCCTAAAATTGCTTTGGGTTAATAACTTATTTTGCTAAGTGAAGCTTATTAACTCGCAATGGAGATCAAGTTTGTGTCATTGAAACAGTCTTTGTAAAGACCTCTTTACAAACGTTTTCTGGAGTAAGTGAAATCCAATTATTCGAGTATCAATTAGCCAATATTGTAGAAATGACGCGTGTAGAAATTGTGTTAGCACGCTTATAGAGACTAACTTTTATCATTTGAAAATTTTGAAAGATATGTATAATCCAATCAATGTAAATCAAGAAAAAAATCAACCGTAGCGAATAGAAGATTCACAAACTAGTATACATATAAACAACCAAAGAAATGAAGTTATATGGATTGAATAGTTTCTTTTCTTTCTTTCTTTAATAATCCACATTGAAATTTATTTCTTCCAAATACTATAGAAAACAAATTGTGGACGACATTGTAAAGAAAATGAGTTTGAGAGCGAAATCAGTTGGGTAAGAGAGACAAAAACTTCACCTTGATATCTCCTCTTCCGTAAAATATGGTGCTATGCTAGAAGATGTTACCATTAAAACAAGCAACATTGTGGCTATTTCAAATGAAGTAAAAAAATCTTGTGTGTTTTCCAGAGAAAGAAACCGAAACAAGAACTGTTCCAAAATCCCAATTAATTTAAATTTTTAAATAAAATTATTGAATAATTTTCATATTCCGAAAAAGCTTGTAATTATACTAATATTATTATTATTAATTTATAAATAGTTTGAAATGAAATGATTCAACCAATGGAAACTTTCTTATTCAATGAAAATATGATATTGATTATTTTGTATATTTTTTAAAAAGACATTAATTATTTTGGATCCTTAATCAATTAAATTATATTTATATATTGATATAATTGTAAATATGAAATATGACGATGAGTGAGACACTAGATTTATTAATGTTATATATATATATATATAATACATCCATTTGTTTTTTCTTCTTATCTATAATTAAACATATTTTCTTATGTTTAAAAAAGTAAATAGGTAATTTTTTTCCCCTCCCTATAGAAAACAAAAACAACTGCATCAAGAAGCTGGAGACTCTGTGATTGCATCCACCATATTTAATGTCACACAAGGTTGATCCACAGGAACCTACATTTGGAATCATATAATTAAAAAGTATTAAATCAAACTAAAGTATAAATAAAGTTTATATGTATGTATATATATTACACACACACATATATATACGTGTGTGTATAACTTACAAAATGGCCTGCATCAAGGATCCAATAGAAGTGCAAGTTCTCATGGGACTTAGTGAAGCCTTTGGTGTGCTTCTCATTTCCACATAATAAAACAGTTCTCTCCTTGCTTCTAAATGAGTGGATGATAAAATAAAGGATTTTGGTCAAAATAGTTTTTATAAACTTAAAAATTTTGAATTTCTTTTTTTAAATTTAGAAATTTTTTGAATTTACAAATTTAAAAGATAACTCCCTGAACCTATTTAAGTTCATATAAATTTAAATTTAATTAGTATGTAAGGCTTTTGTCAAATAATAATAATAATAATAATAATAATAAAAACATACCACGTGGTTGGTTTTGGAGAAAATTAATCCCTCGAGATCATTCCATGAATGAGTTGCATTTATGTACAACCCCCTTTTAATTTGCAGTTTGATCTTCAATACTAAACTGTTATTCAAAAGAAGGTTTTGGAGTATTTTTTCCGTTTATTATTTTGAAAACAAAAATATTGAGGGAATTGATAATTTATTTTATGAAATTACTGTTTCCTAGGGCAACTCCTGCCAAACAAAATCAAGAGACGTGTATTTAAATTATCGATTCTATAACACATCATAATAATAATATAATTTTTTATTTTTATATTAAAAGGTTATAATTCATAATTTATATTTGAAATTTTTTATAGAAAAAAAAAGAAAAAGAAAGAGTAAAAATAAAAGTACCTCGGAGATTAAGGGTCAAATTGCCTGCTTGAATGGCCTGAAGGAGGGACAAAGCTAGAGTGACGGCGAATTTACCGCCGTAAGACTCTGCAAAGATGTACAAAGTAGCGTTCCGTAGGCCGACAATGTCGTTCGAAACCTCAGTCAGCAAAGTCGTCATGTCGATTGCCGCCTCCACATCGCCTTTCACAAATTCACCTCCACTCTCCACGTAGCTATATCCGGTCCCGACAGGATTGTCCTGTTTTTTTTTAGTGTTAGAATCATAAATTTAGTCGTAAAATATTAGAATATATGGTTAAAATGGCGGAAATTGAAAGGAAAAGGGAGCTGACCACAAACAAGAGGTGTGCTTTTTGAAGCCATGTTGAGTTTCTCGGCTTCAAGTTTAAGTTCAACGGCCCGATTTCCAGGAAGTTCCCAAACCCAGTTCCTGAGCCACCCTGTTTTTCAATATTTAAGCCATTTTCTTACAAAATAAAAAAAAAAAATTATAAATAAATAATTTGAAAATGCAGGTCACCCACCGGTCCGCCCTGCAACCAGAGAATGGTCGGCCATGGCTTGGAACCGGCGTCCACTCTGGAAGGGCTTTACCTAAACAACACAATCACAAGAACAAATATATAATTAATAATACTAACAATAAAATAGATTTTGTTTAGAGAGGAAATAAGAAAAAATAAGAGTATTTTATTATTGGTGAACTTTAAGAATGGATTAAAAAATGGAAGATATGGAATTGATTTTATTATCGGTGTAATTTAAGCAATAGAATAATGTTGATAATTTTTACTCTCAACCACAAACTTAATTTCTAAGAATAAAAATTGAATATTATAGGTCATGAAAAGGAATTGACTTCTGAAATATCACATCACATGACAAAAAGTAGAGAATACAGTACTTATATGTTCTTGGAAAACAATAGTAGTAATCGAAAATAAATTTTTAATAAAAATAAAATTATATATATATATATATAGACAAACAAAGTCTCTCATGCTCACGTGAAGCATTATATAATATAGAAAGTTGAACTTGAAATTGATGTCATGGGTCTACATAGGTTGACTTGGATACAAAAGACAAAAATCGAACTCTCACTGAGGATAAATTGATGACACTACCTAAGCTAATCAGGTAAGTGGCCTTACTATTAGCTCGGTTTCGGTTTTAATCTACTGTACTATAGGCTGCCTTTCTTAGACATTCAAGTTCGAGAACTGCATCCAAGGGGAATATTAAGATAACGGAAAGAGAAGCAGCTTCGAAACTATCCTAGAAAGAAAGAAAATAGCTGTTGATGGCCACCCGACGTCGGTTGAACGAAATCTGAACGGGAGAGAAACCATTTTTGTGTGCTGGTTGCCGATTGTAAGCATCAAAATCGTCAAGTTTCAATGTTCCTCACAAAATTATCTAAACATTATCAACTACGAATTAGTTTTTTTCAAACAGCCTAACTAAGGTTTCCAAATTAGGGTTTCTATTTTAATCCCATACGTACATTGTAATAGGCTCTCTTTCTTCGACATTCAAGTCCGAGAACTACTTACCAAGGGAATATTAAGATATTGGAAACAGAAGGCAACTTTTTGAAACTACCCTAGAATGCAAGCAAATAGTCGATGACACCCTCATGTCACTCAAACATAAATGGCAGGGAGATAAATCATTTTTGGGTGGTGGTTGTTGATCGCAAACGTCAAAATCGTCAAGTTTCAACGTTCCTCACAAAATTGTCAAAAAATTATCAACTGCGACTCAAATTTTTTCAAACGGCCAAACCAGGGTTTCCAAATTAGTGTTTCAGTTTTTCTCGTACTTACAATGTTATAGTTTGTCTTTCTTCAACGTTCAAGGTCGAGCCTTGCATCCCAATGTTATATTTAGATATCATTAAGAGAAAGCAGCTTTTAGGAACTACACTAGAACACAAGCAAATAGCCACCGATGGTACCCCGACATCGATTGAAAGAAATTTGGCTGGGAGATAAACAATTGTTGGTGCTAGCTTTCGATCGTAAGCATCAAAATCGTCGAGTTCCAATGTTCCTAACAAAATTGTCAAAAAATTATCAACTGTAACTCCATTTTTTTCAAACAACCAAAAAATGGCTTCCAAATTAGGGTTTCGATTTTTATCCCGTATTTACAGTACTATAGGCTCTTTTTCTTCGACATTCAAACCCGAGCACTACTATCCAGGAGAATATTAAGATATCGAAAAGAGAAGGTAGCTTTTCGAAACTTCCCTAGAACGCGAGCAAATAGACGCCAAGGCACCTCGACATAGGTCGAATGAATGCGAGAAGCGAAACAATTTTTGGGCGCTGGCTGCCAATCGTTAGCATTGAAATCGTCGATTTTAACGTTCCTCACAAAATTGTTGAAAAATTAACGACTGCGAATCAGTTTTTTCAAACGGCTCAACAATTAGGGTTTCAATTTTTTCAAACCAAATTAGGGTTTCAGTTTTATTCTTGTACGCACAGTGCTATAGGCTCTATTTTTTCGACATTCAAGTTTAAGCACCGCTTCCCACGGAAATATTAAAATAATGGAAAGAGAAGATAGTTTTTTGCAATTGCCTTCGAATGCGAGCAAATAGTCGCCAATGGCCCCCCGACATTGGTTGAACGAAAATTGGCCGAGAGCGAAAATTTTTTTTTGGTGTTGTCTGTCAATCATAAGTGTCAAAATCGTCAAGTTTCAATGTTCCTCACAAAATTGTTGAAAAATTATCATCTACAACTCAATGTTTTTCAAACGGCCCAACTAGGGTTTTCAAATTAGGGTTTCATTTTTAATCCCGTATGTATAGTGCTATAGGCTCTCCTTCTTCGACATTCAAGTCCAAGCATTGCTTTCCATCGGAATATTAAGATACTTGAATGAGAATGCAACTTTTTGGAACTACCCTAAAACGTGAGCAAATAGCCGCTGATTGCCTCCCGATGTCAGTCGAATGAAAACTGGTTCAGAGCGAAATAATTGGATGTTGGCTACCGATCGTAAGCATCAAAATCGTCAAGTTTCATCATTCCTCAAAAAATTGCCGAAAAGTGATTGAATGCAACTCAATTTTTTTCAAATGGCCCAACCAGGGTTCCAAAATTAGCATTTCTATTTTAATATCGTACGTACAGTGCTATAAGCTCTCTTTCTTCCGCATTCAAGTTTGAGCACTCCTTCATAGGGGAATATTATGATATTGGAAAGAGAAGGTAGATTTTTGGAAGTACCCTAGAATGCGAGCAAATAGTTGCCGATGGCACCCCGACGTCGGCCGAACGAAAACTTGCCTAGAGCGGAACCATTTTTTGGTGTTGGCTGCCAATCATAAGCGTCAAAATCTTCAAGTTTCAACATTCCTAAAAAAATTGTCAAAAAATTATCGATTACAACTCAGTTTTTTTTCAAATGGCCGAACCAGGTATTTCAAATTAGAGTTTCGATTTTAATCCCATATGTACAATGTTGTAAGCTCTCTTTCTTAGATATTCATGTCCGAGCACTGCTTCCAAAAAGAATATTAAGATATCAAAAAAAGAAGGCAACGTTGAGGAATTGCCCTTGAATGCGAGCAAATAGCCACCAATGGCCTGACAATTTAGGATTGGCACTTAGCAAATATCCCGTCTGTGGTGTAATATCATCAAAATAAAGGATTGGCGCTCAAAATGCAAGAGCTCCTAGTACCACATGAGGATATTTTTAAGACGGAACATCGTAGCTAACACTATAAACAAAAAACCATTTACATGTGCCTAACCACCAATAACAATCACAATGGAATATTTAGCATGAAGCTCTTTTTTTACATGCATAAGAATATTTGCACAATCTGCAATCGCATTTCTCAAATGGTTCGTTCCTCGATCTAAATAGTACTGATTTTTCGTAATACCGATACACTATAGAAACTTTAAAACAATAGATATAAATGGATCTAAATAGTATTAAATGGATCTAAATAGTACTGATGTTCTACAATGACAAACGGTCTTTAGAAACTTTAAAAGAATAAATATAGATTAAAAACGGGTTTGTGTTAGACTTTAACCTCAATATAAACTAGAACGGCATTAAACGTAATGGTCGAGTATCAATCAGGCCAATAATTGAAATGATATAGAAACTAAATATGTTTGCGGGAATGTTGTATTGCTTTCCGGCCAATAATTGAAATGATCAAGTGTTCGGATGTGAATCCACAACTCTAAAATGATGTAGAAACTTTTCACTAATAAGACTATGCCGAAAAGTAATAGCATTCCGATAATTTGAGTATCATTTAGTCAATATTGTAGAAATGAAACATGTGGAAGTTGTGTTAGAATTCTTGCACAGATTAATTTTTTTCATTTGAGAAATTTGAAAGATATGTATAACTAAATCAATGTAAATCAACCCTAGCCGGTAGAAGCTTCAGAAACTAGTAAACATATAAACGACCAGAAAAATGATGTAATATGGATTGAATAGATTTTTTTTTTATCTTTTCTTGGATAAACGGGATGAATTCTACATTGAAATTTCTTCCAAATACTATAGGAAAACAAGAAACTAATGTTCGTTCTCTCGAAAAAAAAATAATATTTTTTTAAAACTGGGTTTAGAATTTAAAAACATGTTTTAAGTGGATGATAAAATAAAAGGAATTTGTAGGTCAAAATAGTTTTTATAAACTTAAAAAATTAAATAGTTATGAATGAAGCCTAAATTACCAATTTAGAAAAGTTCTAAACTTTAAATTATACGTCTAATATATCCATCAATTTTGAATGAGATTGAGAGAATGAGAATATGAACCGTGTAATCTTCTGGAGACATCCAACTGTTTCCTAGAGAAACTCCTGGCAAACAAAATCAAGAGAGTCGTGTATTTAAATTATTGATTCTATATTATTACAATGCGATCATTTTAAACGAATCAAGGTTATAATTATACCAAAAAAAAAAAAAATTATAATTCATCATTTATATTTGGAACTTTTTATTAAAAAAAAAAAAGTAAAAATAAAAGTACCTCCGAGATTAAGGGTCAAATTGCCAGCTTGGATGGCCCAAAGAAGGGACAAAGCCAGAGTGACGGCGAATTTGCCACCGTAAGACTCCGCAAAGATGTACAAAGGAGTGTTTCGTAGGCCGACAGTGTTGTTCGAAACCTCAGCCAGCAAAGTCGTCATGTCGGTCGCCGCCTCCACATCGCCTTTCGCAAATTCACCTCCACTCTCAACGTAGCTATATCCGGTCCCGACTGGATTATCCTGTTTATTTTTGTTTTTTTTTTTTTATGTTAAAATCATAAATTTAGTGTAAAATATTAGAATTTAAGGTTAAAATGGTGAAAATTAAAAGGAAAAGGAGTTGACCACAAACAAGAGGTGTGCTTTTTGCAGCCATGTTGAGTTTCTCGGCTTCAAGTTCGAGTTCAATGGCCCGATTTCCAGGAAGTTCCCAAACCCAGTTCCCGAGCCACCCTGTCTATCAATATTTGAGCCATTTTCTTACAAAGAACACAAAATTTATGAATAAGTCGCTGGAAAAGGTCGGCTGCTCACCGGTCCGCCCTGCAACCAGAGAATGGTTGGCCATGGCTTGGAACCGACGTCCACTCTGGAAGGACTTCTATAAAGCCACCAAAACATATGGGCTTCTGAACAACAGAATCCCAAGAATAAATATATATAATAAATAATGACTAAAATAAAATAGAATGAAAATTAATGAATTTGACTTACTGGGTCTGACTTGAACGTAGCCCCATTCTTCAGATCCGTCTTGAGATTTGTGAGTTATGGAAGTTCCGACATGAAACAGAGAAGAAGAAGCAATGAGAACGAAACAGAGACGAAGAACTAATAGTTTAGACATTGTCGAGAGAATGAGAAGCTTAAGTTCTTTAAAAATGGTGATAATAGAAGACAGACTTTCAGGCATTTTTAAATTGATGAATTAATTGGGAAGTTATGAATGGGCGTGAAGAAAGACAAGATTAGGGCCGGACAGTACAAAATGAGCGACGACGGACACCATTGGACAGCACAAGATACAACCACAATAAAAAAGGTGACAGCCGAGTGGGAGTGGAACCTAACTTATATTTTCTATTTTTTTTTTTACCATCTTCCAACAAATTTTATTCCTATTTTGGTTTGAAAATTGAAATTATTTAATAAAAGTATATATTTTGAATTTTGTTTAATGTAGAAATTTATGGATGTGTGGAGTTATTCCGTTACTAATTTAGTCAATTAAGTTTAATTATGTGTTGTATTTGATTTTATTAAATTTAATGAATGTTTTGAATGTTTGTGTTTTGTTGGGTTAACATTAATGAATGAATTAATGAAAATTGAATATAAAGATTAAAATTTACACTATAATATAAAACATTTCACGGTAAAAATTAATTTCATCCATATAATTGAGATTTCTTTAAGGCATCGTACCAACTATATATTTAAGATTATATTTCACTTAATTAAACGATAATTTGTATTTTTATAAACATTGAAATGGATGAATATTTTTAAGTCTTATTTGGTAATGGTTTAGTTTTAGAAGGTTTTTTTTTTTTTTTTTTTTGATAATTTGGAAGTAGTATTTTTTAATTTATTTTTTTAAAATAAGAAATCAAATGGATATTAAAAAAAGCTTCATATTTTGAGCATGGTTGTGGACGAGCTCGGAGGCTATTTTAATGTCATGAATAGGGTCCGAGATTGTGGTCTTTGTCCCTATCTTAACTTCTCGTATATACACTCGCTCCGTTTTTAAAATGGAAAAAGATTCTTACAAAGGAATCATATATTTTTTATAATAACAAATATAATAGGGATTTGAACCTAAAACTTTAAAGAAAAGACTAAATAGCTTAATCATTATGCCATCAACCGTTTATTCATATAATGTAAGGATAGTAAAATATATATATATATATATATAATAAAACTGTTACTGAACACAAATCTCACTCACCTCTCCCTCCCAAATATCTCTCCTCAAGTCTCTTTTGAGAGAGATGTATCCATTCTTGAAAAGATGAAACAAAATTGATATGGAGAAAAAGGAAAACAGGCAACAGATTTAACAGTAGGAAACAGAGAAAAATTTATGGGTAGGTTAGATCTTCCTTCTCTTTTATCGGGTTTCAATTATTTAGATTTTTGTTATCATTTTATTTGTTAGGAAAAATTAGGATCATCAACATTAAAATTGTAAAAGAGGAGTAAGAATCGATCAAAATTGACCAATAGCAATTTACTCGAGATAAGAGAGAAAAGTTTATCGGTAGTTAGATCTTCCTTTTCTTTTATATTGTTTCAATTATTTAGATTTTTGCTATCATTTTACTCCTTAGAGAAAATGAGGATCAACAGAAGCTTAAAATTTGCCAAATATAATTGTGAATCAAATTAAAAAGAAAAACAAATGAAATACAAGAATAGATTAAAATTGACCAAAGATAAATTAACTGAATTAAAAGAAAAATAGATAGTCAATTTTTTTTTATGAGATTAAAATAACTCCATCAAATTATTTCATAGAAGGATATTTTCCAGAAAATAATAGTAATAAAAGAAAATGGGATCTTGATTTATATATATATATATAATATTCGAGAGTTTACTCATGCAAAGTTTGTAATGCTCGCAAGAAGTCTACCAAATGTACTATGGTAAAATGTAGAGAAATGAACTTGACATTGATGTCATGAGTTAACATAGGTTGACTTCGATACAAAGGACAAAATCAAACTTTCATCAAATATAAATTGTGACATCCGCTTAAACTAATCAAGTAAGTAGTCTTACTACAAGATATGTCAGAAATTGTATGAGTTATGATAATGTATGAGTTGTATTGTATGATGTCGTATACTAGTATATGATGATGTATGAGTTATGATGCTTGATGGTGTGTGTAATATATGTAGTTGATGTATGACGTACTTGATATGCTATATGCACTTTATGGCAATATGATGACTGCATGATGTTTGTCTTAATATGTTGATGTTTTCCACATTAAGCATGCTATATGATGATGAGTATCATATTGCATTATGTTGATAGACAGACTTAGGACACAACCCAAAGAGCATGAAAATGATTTTAATATAAATATCCAACGAGCATGTGTTACTTAATGTAACATAGAGATGAGACTAGAGGGTTGTGTCAGAAGAGACGATAAGATGGACTTAGAGGGACCTCATGCATATTATATGTTAATAAGCATAGAGATACTTCCCCTAGAGATAATGATTGTTGACACTGTTAAGGATATTTAGTAATAAATTATAGTTTACCATATATATTAGATTTGATATTTTATTATAAGGCAAATATCTAACATTTGCCTTATTACTATAGGTATCTTTCCATTTATTGTTATTTCCATTTATTACTATTTCCATATCCTTGTAATTTATTTGATTATAAATAAGATAACTTTCACACCATTTAGGTGTGGTGGATTCAGCAAACATTCACAGACACGCATAGTATGACGAGCAAGGTGTTCATGGGGAGCATGACACTATGAGATTTAGCTGATCTCCGGACGTCGCTACAGATTAGCTTGACCAGAGGGTCTAGGGGATTCACATTCGCACGTGTGGGTCGTGTGTAGGGAAGTAATACTATTCCAATTTGTCCGAGACTGGCGACCACCCCTAGAGAATAGAGATAGGTCCCAAGAATATGATTGCATGTGTTTGCATTTGTATGGCCCCCTATAGAGGGGCCACTTACTGAGTATTCTTCGAAATACTCAAGCCATGTGCCACATCATTTTTCAGGTAAAGGCAAGGCGCACATTTACGAAGGACAGCGGCATCGCGAGCAGAGACTATGGCACGTGCATAGGGTAGACTCATATTTAAATTCCTAGTCTTAGGTTAGAATAGGTTGTTTTGCATTTCATCATTTTAAATTATTTTGTATTTGTGTTTATTTTTTATAAATATAAGTATTTCGTATTTAAAGACGTAAGACCATGAATGTGTTTTCCAAAGAAGAAGATGTTTTAAATGTTTTCGAAATTTATATTATAAATGATGTTTTCTTTTAAGAGTTATATATCTGCATTAGAGATGAACATGCTATGTTAGTAGCAACTCTAAGTACGTAGAAATTTAGGTCGTTATAGTTTATTCATATAAACAGCAATCTTTAGGAAGTCAAAGGAAAAATGTGGAAGCCACCAAGAGTCGGCTCACATTTATGAAGGGAGTTGAGTTAGAAAAGTAAACTTCATCAAGATTCAACACGAGAAATAGGAAAATTGGAAGGTCCTTTTGCTCGGGAGAGTCGTAGCATGTACCTAAATCCTCATAATCCCCGTAGATAAGGTTTTTTAAATCCACTCCACACAATTATTCTGGTATTACATTTATTATTTCATTTGTCCATCACCGTACAAATCAACTTTATATGTATATAAATTAGGATGAGAAGAGTAGGGCACTTGGACGGTACAAGAGGATGAAGATGAATAAATGAGTAGTCATCTTATTTTTCTTCTTTATTGTCGTCTAAGTCATCATAGGGAGTACGCACAAATCACTTCTAGAATGGGCATACAAGCCATGAAAATTCATGGAAGATAAGATGAGAGGTCCACATAGAGATAGGGAGAGAAAAAGAACGAGGAAAGTATCGAAAACGTTGTGGAGAGGAGAGAGAAAATCCGTTGGAAACATCGAACACGGAAATGGGCGAAGAAAAAAGGATCTGTCAGATCCAGGTCGGACCCGATCAAAACTCGAGGCCCAGCACGTAAGCCCGTGATCCATGACCTAAAACTCGACCTGCGCCTCGACCCGAGATGCCTAGGATGTTGTGGCCCACTCAGATGTTGCCACGTGTCAAACTGCGGTGCAAGCAGCCCTTCAACTCATTTTTTAATTTTTGACCTGATTTCTACTATTTCGACCCTTTCAGACCTATTTTCGGCTTTGATTAAGGTAATTGAGGTCATTTTGAGGCCGCATTTCACGTTTATTAATTAGTTATTAATTTAATTGTGAAATACTAATAAAAGGTGACGAACGGTGTGATAGGAAACAAACTTCAGTGACCTTTGGAGCAGCTCTCGAAGAATGGGAGCTTATGTTTAGCTAATTAGAAAGTACTTCAGCTAAGACCAACCAAGTAAGTGCTCTTACTATAAGATAGACTTGAAATTTTATGCGCTACAATTTATGATGTATGCTATGATGTATGAGCTGTGTTGTATGATGCCATATACTAGTATATGATGATATATGAATTATGATGCATGATGATGTGCGTAATATATATATATATATATATATATATATATATATATTTCGATAAATGACATACTTGATATGCTTGATGTACTTTATGGCGATATGATGAGTATGATGATTGCATGACGTTTGTCTTAATATTTTGATCTTTTCAATATTAAGCACGCTTTATGATGATGAGTGCCATATTGCATCATGTCAATAGACCGACATAAGACACAACCTTAAAAGCATGAAAATGATATTAATATAAATATCCATGAGCATGTGTTACTTAATGTAACAAAGAGATGAGATTAGAGGATTGTGTCAGAAGAGATGATAAGATGGAATTTAAAGGGACCTCATGCATGTTGTATGTTCATAAGCATAGGGATACTTCCCCAGAGATGATGAGTGCGGACGCGCACAGTATGATGATAAGGGTGTTCTTGGGGAGAACGATACTAGGGGTTCCACTGACCTCCGGACGTCGCTACAGAGTAGCTTAACCAGAGAGGGTCCAAGGGGTATGCGAGCCTACCTGGGGATTCACACTCGCACGTGTGGGTCGTGTGTAGGGAAGTAATACACATCCATAGTAGTCCGAGACTGGAGGCCACCCCTAGATGA